GTTAACTGCCATAGTTTGGAACCACTGGAAGAAAATTCTGCTTTCATGGTAACGATTTTCATATTCATTTATAGTTTTGCTGGCTTTCCTTGACAGTCACCTTATTCCCCATTTTTCCTTTCCCAGGCTTCCCTGCCACCTTGGAGTGTGCTGTCCTGCCCTGAGATCTCCAGGCAGTCACCGGTTTTGGAGGAACACAGCTCACAGCAGGCCCTGGGGACCAATGGGTTGATGCACCTTGTTCTGAGCCAGTTGTTCCAAGTTTTTCTGTCCCTGGCAAACTCAAAGCCAAGCAGAACGGCAGAGCATGTCCCTGCCGTCTCAGAGTGGCTCTGAGGGGAGCACGGCAGGCACCGGTCACCTCATCTGAGGGGAAGCTGTCCTTGCAGAGCCAGTTCACAGAATAAACATCGATAGAAATTGAACTCCAAGGGCAGATTTTTTCCAAAGGTTCATATCTGTACACAATCTAACCTCCGCTACCCTTAGTTGAACCCGCTGTCCAGACAGCACTGGAGAGGGAAGTGGCAGAAGAATGACATTTGCTTCCAGCTTCATTTATGTAAAAATCACATTTTACTGGCCACAACCACTGTGAAACGTGGCCCTTTGGACTGCTTCTGGGGCCTGGAGGGCACAGCCCTGCCAAAGTCTGGAACACACCAGGGGGGACAGCGTTTGGGTACAGCCTTTGGAAGAAGCAGCTTGATAAATTCAGACGAAGCTCAAGCCACACGACACCCATTTCGCCGGTGCTGTCACACGGGTGGCTGCAGGATACTGCCTTGCTCCAGGGCCAGCCCCACGCACAGCTGAGGTTGGTGGGACACGACACCAATTTGAGGAATGTGCCTGTGTCCCCAGGATGAGCGGGAAGGCTGTGTGAGCACACACCAGCTGCTTCAGTTCACCCTTTCTCTTTCGAACTTAAACCCCTGCCAGGCTGGGGCTCTCCCGAGAGGGCATGGGCGCACTGCTCGCCTGCTCACCTTTCAAGGTAAGGCAGCAAAGGAGAAGGTGTCCTGGAAACACTCCTGCTTTGCAGGTTATTAACGGAGTCGCAGCAAGCAAACCGCATAGCCCAGAGCCCTACGGTACTGCTGGTGGGGGAACACAGACATCCCAGGGGTTACCGCCTATGCAATCAGGTCAGCACCCAAGTGATTTTATGACACCGCTGGATGTGAAATCATGGGAGATCTGGGCAGAAAATAACCCCTGAGCAGGTCAGCCACCTTTTGAAACTGCCTTATGGCTGTAACTGGCCTCTGCCAGCTTGCCTTTGGGAAGGAATCTCTCTCCTTGAGCAAGGTTTCTTGCTGTGGGCTTTCTGGCTCAAGCTGGTCTTTTAGTAACTATATATTGCTTATGTATAGATCAACAGAGCACACGTGTCTGCACTTGCCTCAGCATCTTCAGCCTCAAGAGGCTGATTGAACTTGGAACAGGATGGCTATTCAAAAATAAAGCCATCACTGGTAAAAGGCACAAGTGCTCATGTTCAGGCAGCACAGAGTGGGAAACGCAGCAGCCACAGCACGCTGCCAAGGCACCAAACCCAAACCAAGGCAGCCCTGCCTTGTTCCCTGCACCATGCCCACGCTCCCACCAAGCAGCAGCACAGCACCCCCCCAAACCCCTTCCCACCCAGCTCAGAACAGGGGACCAGGCTGCAGAAGCACCAAAAACTAAAGAAATCAGCTCTCCCAAGCAGTGACCACCTCCAAAACCCTGCCCAACAGCAGCAGCAAGCCCAGACCCTACCTCAGCCCCAAGGGGCAAAGCCACCATCCTCCTAGCAGCCACCATGGGAGCTGCCCTCTGGAGCTGCCCTTTTGGGAGGGGGGCTCCTGTCTTCAGGCAATTGGTGGCAGCTGGTGGCCCCGCTCCCAGCTGGGGACAATCATTAAGTCAGCACCAGCTGCGCCACGACCCAGGGGACGGGCCCAGCATGGCAGATGGGAGCACCTGGGTTAGGGTAGCCCTGGGTCCTGCCGCCGAGGGACCCTGGACCTGCTGTTTGGCCTGGCCACAGTGCATGGAGCTAATTAAATTGATTGGGATTTTGCTAAGCGGCTGCAGTGCCGCTGCCCGGAGCCCCCAGCAGCAGGAGTGTCTCTGAGTGAGACTGAAGCATACTCAGTGTTATGTGCTCTCAAAGTTACGCGTTCTCACACCAAACTACAGACAAAGACGCTGATCTGGGGTTTTCCTGGAATCGTAAAGGACCTAGGAGATTTGCAGGGTTTTTTTTTTCCTGTCTCCTTTAGGTGATTTCTGGACCGCAGTAGCTTTTAGCTGGCAGGAGATAAAGCAGCAGGCTGGGGGCTGGTAAGCAGAGCAGGGACCCGATGCTGCACTGGTGGCTGGACCATGCCGTGTCCCCAAGCCCATCACAGCCCGAAGCCCCGGCCTGGCTGGGGTCACCTTCTTGGCCCCCCGACCGCCCCCGGGGGGCCATGCCCTGAGAGCCCCCAGGAGATGGCAGCAGCCCGGCGTGTTCATGGCCTCCGGTGGGACATCGGCCCTTGGGCACCTTTCTGGAGGCTTCTGTGCTCCCCAGGGCAGCGATGGCAGTGGCACGGCCGGCCTTGGCCGAGGCGGCAGCTGGAGGGTCCCCCGGCACGGAGC